ATGGCAGGGAGTGCGGGGTGAGATGCGAAGAACTCAAACGCTGTGACAGATGGAAATTGCAAACAGCAACCTCTAAATTACAAGTCCTTGTGGCTTATCTGAACCGGGAAATTTTCTCGTATCTCAGGTGATATCAAGATAATTAAGGTAATTGACGTCACCAGCACAGCGTTCTAAATACTTTGAGAGACAGGTCGACCATCAGCATTTCAGGTTGCTCCAGTTGTAAGGACCTAATTCCTGTATAAGGCCGATTCGAAGCCACTTGCACATCGCTTGCAATCTTCCGCGCTACTGATTGCATACATAAACTACCAATGGTATTGATAAGGTATGTAATGTGTTTTTGTGAAAAGGAGGGAATACAAATGAAAAGGAACGCTATATCTCATCTCCTCTAAGTACTAGTATGTGGAAAACGCCATATGGTACTGCTTCTTAGATGCATGCAGCGCCCCCTTGTCTAGAACTGGACAACACGTAACAAATCGCAACTCTTCTCCTGTATGCGTTTAGAGATTAGATAACAGGCCTATCTTCTGCACATGTGGCTGATAACCTGCGCTACGGCGCTTTTTCTTGGCCAATTATCGAGGGCTTCGTGTCTGATACGCACAACCTGATGAGTGCGACCTCAGTCCCTGTTATTGTTCACGTGATAGCGGAGTCAGAACAATCTCCAAGCAGATGTATCAGAAGGAATCCGGATAATTCTGTGTTTTACGCCTATTTTTGCTATATTTAGAACTCTCGTAGTGCATTCGCCTTCTCCTTCGAAACGTTGAAATTTGCAATGGCAATGCAAGAAAATAGTACATCATTCTTATTACATCATTCTTATTACATCTGCTTGAAGATTTTCTTTATTTTCTTTATTTATAAATATAAGTTCAGACCTGCCTCAGGCCGCAGTTCCGCTGCAGCTGACCTCTGGTGACCTGATCTCCGTCTAAATCCCCGGATGAGACAATAGCAGCTTTTTTATTGCCATCGATTACCCACAATTCCTGGCGTCCCCCTATCGGCCACACAAACAAATCAGGTCACAAATATCTTGCTCTAAATTGCTTTCTCTAGATCTAGGCCATTCATTTCCATTCTCCGATAAAAAGCGCTGCCCCATAGGCACTTTTGCTTCTTTGATCAATATGTAGTGCATTTCTACTAAGTTGCTGTCATTGGCTCCTTGCGCGGTAGAAAACGGCCTTCCCTTTTTCACTTTTCTTGTTGATTGCCATTGTGACTGCTGTTTTGGATAAGTTGCGGTACGAGTTTTGCATCTCAATCTGCCGAAATCATTCAAGCGCTATGTCAGAAGATTTTAGATGAATACGTGATAGATGTTTGCAGAATTTAAATTACCATTTGCCGAAGGAACTAGCTACATATAGCTGGTTTGGCTGAGGAGGCAGCGATTACGTATTTCCACTATTTTTTTTTAAATCCCGTATGTCCTCATATGTCTGTGCAACAGGTCCTGCGTACACAGGGTACTGGCACACTGTCTAGTGTAGCCCCTCTTGCGGACCCCTCCCAGCTTTTATGACTATGATTGTATCCTTGTTCTGGTTGTATACTGGGTTCTGATTTACTGGGCTCTGACAGTAATCAGACTTCGGCACCCAACCAGATTCTCGATAGCTATCCGATGAGGAAACTACACGAATTCCTTAAAAAGAATGCATCCAGTGGAGTCTGAACCGAGCTCGAGGGCTAGTCTAGCGCCGCTAACCTTCTCTAGTCCATGTAACATGTATGTAGCCGTGGTGTGGCTGCCCAGCCTGAGAGGGCCTGAACTGGTTGGTTGCATGTCTAAACTCACGGCCCTCGCTCAAATCGACCCGTATTCCTCTGAGGCGGAAGAAGATCGACGACACAATGTTTAAGTGCCTCTCGTGGACACGGTCTAGTTCTCACTGTACACAAGCCAATAAAACCTGCATGCAGCGCGGCGCTGTACTGGACATTACGTTTCCGTGCCCTGCAATGAGTAATGAGCGGCAAAATGAGCTTTCTGGGCTAAAAGGTCGCGAGTACTCCCCTGTGAATCTGGGCATTTATTTTTCCTACATTTTATACGTCTCTAGTACTTACGAAAAGAATGTGAGTATTAAATCTGAAGTCGCCTTAATCTCATTGTAACATCAATGCGAATTTAGTAAGTAACAGCGCGGTCACATTCATCCTAGGCCGTCGTATTTTGATGCTGTAGGATTTTAAAGCAGGTTGTGACCGAAGTAACCACCTAAGACAACTCTTTCCGTAACAAGACAGCTGAATCGTTCAGAACATGTTCGCGACTCTCTCCCAAGAGTGTCCTCAGTTTGCGATCGTACAAGGATCGTACGACGGTTGTGACGAGGCCTGATAAGCAGCAGCACATCGATCTTCCCACCCCGGCCCATCCACCCGTGTCTGCGATGTTCTCTCGCTTTTGAACCGTCCTCCCCTTCTTGATCCTGGATTATTCATACTTTCCCTCCCTGAAACCTCGGCTGATTCCGCGAGAGATGCCCATCAGGCTGCCCTGTTGCCAAACGCTGTAATTGGGTCCCTAAAGCCCGCTGTTAAAGCTTTGAACAAACACCGCATGTCCACGGTTAGAGGTCTCCACCAGATTTCTCGACAGCCTTAGAAATTTCCCCAAGTACGGGGTGTATTTTGCCAGAGGTTATCCAGCTACAGGAATTCATAGCTGCCCCATTCAACTCCTCTGGCAAAATACTCCCCCTATTTCGGGCAGACATATACTGTTTTTGTTCCCGCCCGCAGAGATTTTGGTGGAGGCAAGGTTAGTAGGTGACTGAAAGCACGTTTACCACAGCCAGGTGCTGCTGAAAGCCATCCATCCATCCGGCTTCGACTCTCGCCTTTGTATCACAATGTATACAACATCTACTCTTTGTGGCATTACGAGGTCTTTAGCGAATCAAAGCTGTTGTCTCGAGAGAGAAAGCGTTGAAAAAGGGGAGGAAACACTTCAAACAGACCCAATCACCAGGCGAGATCGACAGGTCTCTGAAGACTGATTCATCCCTGTGAGGGACTGATGGTCGCCATTTAGAACTAGGGCGGCGGAGAGTTGGAAACATCCATCCTGGATGTATATGGAGCATTTATGTTGATGGGTTTTGCCCAGAGCTGTACGGGCAGAGACTCAATTCACCACTGTTATGGTGCTTCTGGACGGATTACGACGGCAATTCGAAAGCAATGGCTCGCCGTGCTGGCTCCCGAGAGGAGCGCCGGCCGATAGCCACCTGTAGCACAGCCCGGGTAGGGATTGCCCGACTGGGAACGCAGTACCGGGGAATGCCACACCTACCCGCCCGTCTTTAGCATTCCTTTTCGGTATAATCGCGATAAAAGGCCCGGTAGTGCTTCATAACGCGTTAGTTTCGAAGGTCGGCCGGTATAGACCGCCACACAGCAATATTTTTGTCACCGTGGACTCTCCGATGGGACGATGGGATGAAAGATGTGCGATTTTTCTCCCTCCTAATCAAGAACATTGTTCCGACAAGTCACCAGAGATGTCTAATGACGTCAGCTTCTATTGACCGTGTCCTACAGGGAGCCTTCTCGCCCAGTGGTGGGACACAGGCAGTGTCTATTTTGAGCATCCAAACATTAAGCGCCGTGGATTGTAACAGATCAGAAATGACAGTGGCCATTTGATACGAAAAAGTCTTATTTCAGAACAGTCTAAATTCCCTCAACTTGCATGATTACAAATCCTCAAATGAAATATATTGTTTGTAGCTGATCTGTTGATCTTTCGATTCCAAATCAATGACAAGGGGGTATAAATGCAACTGCGTTTCCTGATGGTGTTGTTAATCTGCCGTTATCTGTGCTGTCTGATGCGCCAGTCTTTATCCCCGTGTTGCAAATCATTCATGGGGCCAATATATGGATTTCCGTGTAAAGAATCCCCACTTGTTGATCGTGAGATATTGGAAAAATAAGCGGGGCTTTGCTGGCAGCCTCAATACGCCGGTAGTGCCGGGAGAATGCAGGAATCTCGGGGGCCCACTATCAAGGTAAATGGAAAAACGTTTGAAGCACGCAGAAACGATTAGAGCGTGAACGGACGTCTCAGATTATCCAATTTCCCCCGTATCTTCTGTGTCAGCGAGAAACCGAGATTACCTCGTGCCCAAGCCCTGTTTGTAAGAAGGTACGATCCTTCAATCCTGATTTGAACATACGAGGGGACACATTAGGTCGAGAAAGCGATAGATCGCAGATTTCATCACCAGTCGCCTCGAATATGTGGTCTACCCGCTGTACAATACAGCAGGGGAACGTGACGATATCTCCCATCAACATCTGTACGCCCAGGGGACACATCGCACCTCCTCTGACATAGCAACAAAACCTGCTGATGCCCCATTTTTTTTACATCTGACTTCTCCGAGTCACCCCCGCTAAGGTCAGAGATCACCGTGAGCGATACACAATCAGTATCGGAGGAATGTGTATCCGTACCTTTCAGGGAGAATTGATTTCAAGTAACATTAGCGGACAGGTAGCAGATCTATAGCGTGACGTGTGTTCCGAGGTGCTGAGATATCGCGGTGTGGTGTGGTAGATGGTCGGCTGGTAGACCCCCAGCAAACACCTGAGTCAGGGTTATGAGAGAAGAATGGGTCCCGTGGGGAGGTGCATGGCTTTCACATGTGCTATATATATATGTACTTACATCTGATCCATTATTTATCAACGTTTGTGATATATTAACGCGCTACCGTCTTCGGGGCGACCTAAGGACAGTTTACGGGACATTATTCACACATTTGTATGATAAACTACCATTTCTCGTTTTAAGGCCTCATCCTGGCGTCATGATTGCCCCTTATGGAGGCCATTTGAAGTAATAGATGATTCATCACAAAGAATTCTGACAGAGCCATGAATCCAGTTAAACCTGGTTTATCGAATATGCTTTGAAACAGTCAGTGACAAGTATATTGTCTCACAACCTGAAAAGTGCCTCTTTCTGTTCTTTGGCAATTCTGCGTCACCTGTGTTGGAGAGACTTCCTTAATATTCCCAAGTGTTGATATTGCGGAGCAGCAGCTATACCAGCGGCAAAAGCGTGAAGACGACGTGATACAACATCCAGGGTTCCTCTCTGCAGTGAATTAACAATGGAGGCTTGTGCAACCAACCATACGCCCGCCTGTTCCCTCTTACAATTCGGTAGAATGCTTTATAAATCTTTGGCGACCTTGCCCATTCCTATACTTGTGTTATTATACAGATAACTATATAATCTATGTGTCTTTTGTTCATGTACATATTTGTAAGGCACCTGGCATAGTAGGGACATAGTTTTACTTCATGAGACACTACATGGTTAAAAATGTCTTGAATATCTAAATTGCACACCCATCCTGGCGTCACGAAACTTGCATAGATACCTGCACTGAAACGGGCAGTCCACATGCTACAAAGCTGACTGCCCACATGCTACATAGACGACGTAGTCCTGTATTTTTTTCTTGCAAAAGTCACCTGGCATACATACCTGTCTGTCGGCGCCTTCACTTCAACAACAACCGTCGTCGTTCTGTCTACTGTATGCAAAGTTTGTGGCGCCGTCATGACAGAGTGGTTCAGTAAAGTACTTACGATTGACAGTTCAGGTGCTGGGAAGGGGGGGTTCACCCGATCCCCTCGTCGTCATCGTCGTCGTCGTCGTCGTTGTCTTTCCCATCGTATTGCCGACCGTGCTTCTTGGCCTTCTGACTCTTTTTGTACACCCGACTGAAGCTTGTCACGATGATGGTGACGGGAATTGTCATGAGGATGACCCCACACACCGAGCACGCAGCAGCTACCAATTTCCCCATGTTGGTCCTCGGCACCATGTCACCGTATCCCAGGGTCGTCATGGTGACGATCACGAACCAGAAAGCTTCGGGGACGCTCGAAAATGTCGACGCCGTATTCGACTGTTTTTCCGTCGTGTACAACAAAGTGGCGAATATCAAGGCAACCATAAACACAGCGAGTAGCAGAAATAACATCTCACCAATGCACTTCTTTAAGGTGTAGAGTAGGCATCTCAATCCTGGGGACGCGGCAGAAAATCTGAGTATCCTGAAAGACCGGCACACTCGTAACGTCATGAAGGCGCGCTTGATCTTATCCTGCTTAATGAGGAAACCCAAGTAGAACGGCATGATCGCCAAAATATCGATAATGGTCATAAAACTCTTCAGAAACTTCATTCTATCCGGCGCGGAGAAGAACCTGGCGAAAAACTCAATCGTGAAGAGGGCGACGCAGACCGTATCCAGACACCGGAAGGCCCAGGAGTACCTCTCGCCGCAAGTCGGGCCGTCGGGGGGCCCGCACTTCACCGTCTCCACGATGTTGGAGATGACGGACACGGCAATAAAGTATCCCGTCACGTAGTTGACCACTGGCCCCAGGGTCGAGCCCTTCCGGTTCTGCAGCACGTTCCACATCCTCTGCCGGACGGACAGGTGCGGGTTGTCCCCCACCCTGTCCAGAAGCTTCCGCCGCACGAAATCCTCCTCGTTGTGGCGCATGCTACAGTGTCGGTAGTCCTCGTAGCAGCAGTCTCCCATGTAGATCTCCGGAATGATTCCGAAATATTCCATTTCTTCATTATAGGTGGTCCAACAAGCTGCCTTGGGAAAGTGCAGCACGTCCGTTCTGTAAAAATTTAGGATGTACCTGAATATGTCGGGGTCGGCTGCTTCGAATGTGTACTCCTGGGCATCACTGTCGTAAAAGAACTCCCTCTCCGAGCTGCCCAGCAGGGTCTGCGGGTACTTGTCCAGGTAGCCCCTCCGTGTGATGTACCGCCGACCGCCGATGTTTATCGTTACCTTCCGTTTGTCAAGGACCGAGGGGCGGCGCGGCCTCGGCGAGGCTCTTATTTGCGTGGGAGGGGAGAGCCTGAGGCTGGTAGGTCTGTAAGATCTTAGCACCGGGCTGGGATCGTAAGAGGCCGCTACCGGCGGCCAGAAGCTCGCTGCTGCCGACGCCATGACGTCCCGCCCAGCTGCCTACATAGGCCTGCCGACATGTTGATGAGCGGACGTGGTTCCAATCCAATCCAACATGCAGGCGTGCGGGTCGATGGTACGGTGAGCTGGGCAAGTCTTGCGAAAAGAGCAGACAAGTCAGCCCGCAACGTTTTCCTTCACGTTCTCCTCACCTCACCACGTTCCAAGCGCACTTGCGAGAAATCCCGACGTCTTCCTCGGTCCAGCGGGATACAAATTAAGGGTGTCTGGGATGCGATTAAGGGACATGCGCACCCCTCCTTTCGGCGAGCACGGGACTGCAGTTCACCCCTCGCCAACCGCCCGCCGTGGGGAATGGAGCCGTATAGATTTTGACCTCATTTATGACAGATTAGGAAGGCCCGAGGGGACAAAGTCTAATCAGAAGAGCGGCGATGCCCATACCAACCGCCACTTGTCCTCTGACACAGCAGCCCGAGCACGTGCATGTCCACCGGGAGGCCCTTCCCTCGTCATCCCAGCCGCGGTCCTCCTCCACGCAGGCTGGCTGGAGCGCGAGATGACGTGCTGAGCTCTAGCTCCTCCAAAGCCAACTGTTGCCGCCCGCAGCCGCGAAGAGACTGGAGCACAGCCGCGCCGCTATCCTCACCAGATTATCGACGGAGTGTCTCATCGATTTGGATCGCTTTTTAGTTAGGAGGGACTGTATTATCTCGCAATTACGTCTCTTACCGCGATGGAAATGGACGTCTAGCAGAATGGCTGCTCACCAAGTAGAAAACGCTGTTCTCAATTTGCAGTACGAATCTGTACCGACGGCTCGCAGCAATCGGAGACGGTCAAGTGGCGATAGACGTGACATATATGATACATTAGATGTACTGTTAAAGGACTGGGCGTACTTCGTGCATTCCTGGCATTTGTAGTCGAAATGTCAGCACAAAGAGAAAGGGAGGCGGGTGTCTCGCAAGATTACCGATTTTGATACGTAGCAAGTTGCGATAATATCATCCGAATTTTCTAACGGATACAAAAAAAACTACAAATGCCTCGTAATAAAGTGCCTGGGCGATAAATTCTGAAATACCAATATATGTATGATGAATCATATGCAGCCTACCTGGCGGTTCGATGAGCACAGTGCTCATATATGTGCATATGCCAACTCCTACTACATCTCGATCGATTTATGCCATTCTAATGTGTTATAGCCTTTAGTGGTACCACAATAGAACAGGAAAATCATTGTGACATATTGTAATGATTCCAGTATTGATCTTGTGGCGCATTTCTGTGAATTCGACTGTGATACACTTGTGCGAGGACGCGGTCACGTGTTGCGCATACAAACCGTGCCTGTTCAGCGCGCCAGAGACGCCTTAGGTAGCTGATTAAGCATTGCCTCTGCATCTTTGGTGACGCCTTCGGGTGACCTCTTTTCCATTCTCAAGTAGTCCTCGAGGAAATCATGTTCCTAAACACTTCACCATAGGCCTAGCAATCAAGAAAGAGCAAGATCTGAGAATCAGTTCTCTGTATCTTAATGATCCCCAGATCACTCCTGACGCGTTGCACATGCTCCGCGCTGAGGACTGGGGCAAGGTCGTGTCCTCTGCGAAAATTATCTTCCCATTTAAAAGTCGCTGGCGAGAATTAAGAAACGGCGTACGTAAGCAGGCAAAGCGGAAGAGGCACAGTCACGTTTGTGAATAATAACCCCGCACGTACAAGGCGTGTTTTTCCATCCATTAGCCAACTGTCTGAGGGGAAATCTTGCGAACGGCCGGGCTGCAAAATGGATGGCAAGGATGCAGAACAAAGAAACACGCAGGCATTTATAAGATTTGGGGCATCTTCTAGGAACTCGTCTGAAATGGCCGCTTCAGGCACTCTGCATTATGTATGTGGGAAAATCGGTCAGCTGAAGTCAGAAGCGGTCCAATTTGCTGAAACCTTGAGCTGTGTCTGTTTGATGTTTCAACAAGTGTCACCTTACAGTTCGATTCTTGTCAGAACCGTCGTTTTACCCGCCGGTTTACTGGGGAAATAGTTTACGTCTATCAAATAACGCGCACAATGGAGGGCTTTAAATGACGGTGGGAGTCTTCAATCGCATCTACAAGGCAACATGGCTGTGCAATCGGCTGATTCGCTAAAGAAGCGGAACATTCTGGCGGCGGCCATCGATGGCCCGTATGCTAATTATTCACTTCATGCCCCAACAATGCCAAATTAGAAGACCGTGTATTTTTGGACTGTTTATCATCTTCTTAGCTGAATTACTACGTAATGTACAGGATTCAGCAAAGCTATATGGTAGATGCATCATTCAGCACTCCCAGACAGGCTGACAACAGAAGTTAAAACGCCGTTTCTAAGTGATCGCAAAGACTAATATGTCAGGCTGCACACGTTTGCTGTGTAACTTGTCGGTAGCAAACAAGGTAAAATAAATCACCTCAATGAGTCACTACCGCTAAGAAATGCAGAACGTGTCGTCTGCTCAATTGAAGCACCACCATGCAACGAGTGTGGAGACAAGTTACACTGATGGACACAGTCAACACTTATAACACGCTGGTTGTAAGAAACGGTTATGCATTCCATGGTGCTGAACAGCCATCCAATGCTATACCAGGAACATTTCACCTCTTTCCATACTGTGTGTCATCAATTCGCCTTGGACGGCACGAATTTGCAAATATATAGATAAAAAAACAAATCATCTCAAAATTAACTTTCAAACAGTTTTGACTTAACATCGTAGCAGTTTCTTTGTCAAGAATGTGTGCAGACAGTGCTCCCTTCGCATGTAATTGACATTTATCCAGCGGTTACCACTATTAGCACCTAAAGACCCCATCACAAAGTACTCGTAAATTATCCGGCGGCGGGCTGTAAAAGTAGGAGCATCCGAACTGCAGCGAAGTTAACTGCCAGTAGTTTCACATCCTGCAGGCCTGGATGTTTCTGCGCGAGTGAAGTTGGAGGGACTGTGAGGCGGCCGGTGGCATCGCCTGACGTGACTGAAAGGCTTTGATGTGCCTGGAGATGTAGCATGGACAGGAGTGATCAGCGTCAACTGGTTGAACAAATTGTGTGATAAACATTACCGGCATTTTGATCACCCAAAGAAGTGCATGTATCAGATGTACGAGTCTGGTGTTTACCTTACCGTTATTGGGTAGTATTGCAAGGTTTGAAATACTTTAATTGAAAAAAAAATTTAGAATGTTGATGCTTTTCAGCTTTTTCATTCACACAACGTATAGAATCTCATTTAGAGTCTTGATTAAGATAGATTCAGAATTGTCTCTTAAAAACATCCCTACTGTAAATTTTTCAGCGGTCCTGCAAGAACTACTCGATAGTTGATGCATTGCCAGAGACAAGCCCGGATGTAGCATGAAGTGATGGAGGCAGATACAGCCTGAATTGTAAATGGCCCCGTTCAACAGCACTTCCAACGGCAAGGTCAACGGTGTCAAGAGGAGCCACGCAAAGGATTCCCTGCGCTGTGACGCACTCCGCGGACATCTGAGCGCAGAAAGAGCGTTTTGATGTTCCATGAGCTACTTCGGTGACGCTCTACAGGTGTCATTAGACCAGTGCCGGTGTGGAGAAGGGAGTGGGGTGGTTGTAACTTTCTCCACAACTGTCAGTATAAATCAAAAGTAACTGTCCAGCGATGAACCATGAACTGAAGTTAAAACGCTTCAATATCTCGGCGTCAAAAATATGTATAATGCTGAGATCACTTCCTTCAGTCTTCGTCTTAATATACTAGTATTCCCACCACGGAACGAAACTGTAAAATCTAAATTCTATTTACCGTGAAGACAAACCCAAAGCATAAAGAAGGGAATTACATTTTCTCGCAAGATTTACATGTCGTTTGCGGAACTAACTCTGGGTGACTGGATCTAACTAGATTTGGAAGTACTGATATCATCTTCCGTAACGTTATTAACACACGCGAGGTGACAGGAATGTCGGCCGCTTGCGGTTTGGCGGTTTGGTCTTGTTAAGTTTTAATGAGCTCTACCTGTTGTCTGCAATCGTGACTCCGAAGTTCCCCAGGGGGGCAGCCCGGCTGGGGTTTGGTAGAACGAGCCGGCCGGCCTGCGCGCTCCGGTTTACCTTGCCTGGGTGCCAGACGCTGGCGTTTCATAAGCGCTAGATTTTTTTTGTTGGGGGGGGGGGACTCTAATGTCCGCTACCAAAAGTATCCGCTCAAGTCCTTTATCTTTCACGCCAGGTAGCGAGTAGATACGTAGAGCCAGGGTGTCGACTAGTGTAGGGCCTGGCGGGGCGTATGGTTTCCGTGGCCGAAGGAGATTATCACTCACTCGCGAAATGGTCTGGCACCCAGGCTACGGTTTACCTGGACACAACCGTACAGCCCTGCATGGCCGGTTATGGTCAGTTTGGAAACAGACACTCACTGCTGATAAGATTGTTATTCATCCCTTGTTTGGAAGGATTGTCTTAATGGTGATTGGTAACGAGGAACTGCGCAGCTACCTGCGCCGGTTATTGTCTGGGGAGAAATTGCGGCGGATTTTCCCCGGTCTTATCAGTCCCGCCGTCCTTGGACAGCGCCGCGGCAGCCGTCAATTACAGTCGCAGATATCGAGCCGAGGGGCGGTCCCTTCACGAGGGGGGTTTGAGGCCACTTACTCAGCGGATATTAGAAGAAAAGCTCAATTTGCATCATCATTATCCTTATCGTGTCGGCATCCTTAGCCAGAACGTCTCCAACAGTACCGTGAAATATAGATATTCTCGGGGGAACACAATCGGGGTACAGGAAAACCTTGTATATATCATAAGACGTCTATAGGAAAAGTCAATAATTGAAAGACATTTGCCGAGCCTCACAGAGACGGGGGATAATGGAATTAAGTCGTCACTGGTCTTCCCGCCAGAAGTACGGGACGACTTCATCCCGAGAGGTACACCGCGATGTATTGATTTTAGTTCTCCGTTTGTAAGTGGTGATTGGTGAAACACGCCTAGCTTGGGCAGTACTGTACAAGTGCTCCTGCCCATTACGTCTGTTTACGTGTTGACTTGTGGTTATCTTCTTTTGGCTGCTAGCATCTTCTG